GTTCTGATGGTTTGGCACAACAGAGTTCTTTTTAGCGATTTTAAATGCTATTTAAAAAAATAAAAAAAACTCCAGTATACTTTCATTACAACTCCGGTACATTGTTGTACACTGTAGAAAAACATGGATTATCACGTCTACCTTAAATTTCTTTCGAGAGAAGTATTATTTTTATAGATTGGCCATTATTTAGTGCTATGAACACATGTAATGTTTCATTCATACTGGATACTAGAGGGCTCCCCTGTGCAGAAAGTCCACATATGCATCACCGAAGAAATAGTGCTCACCACGCTCCAGGAAATCCCTAATATGGACAAAAGCAGCTATCGCTGTAACTGAATGAAAGACAGAAACGCTTTTAATGATGACATTCAAAGAGAACATTAAGACAATAAACACTCAACAGTGACAATGTTTATCTGTGTTCTTCAAACCACCTCGGGTGTTTTCATAAGTATATTTATAGTCCATTGCTAAGCGACATAGCTTTTATTACAGTATGAGTATAGAATATATTTCTGCGTCATTCTTTGATAAGAAGCCACATCAGATCAGGACAGAAGTTATTTCTAACATTTGTCTGATGTTGTGGAGTATGTTATAATGTTCTGTTATGTTGGACAACAGGTTTAGAAACGCTCCGCATTACAAGTCATGCTCGGCTTATGTTGCTTTTTCAGATGCACCATGCACGTGTTTCCTCATCTCAACGCGCGACTCACGGACACACAAACCGCCAGTTTGGGAGAAATAAAACCCACGGAAAATATTTAAATGCAAAACTGGAAAAAACACTCTGATTGGTTGAACTCCTCATCTTTTTCTGTTGCTTGTTTACTGCGCGTGGACAGGTCACCAGGTTTTTGCGTAGTTTAGTGACAAATCGTACCAGCGTACTTTAAGGTCAAAATGCGTACCGCTATGCAAAATGCGTACAGGTTGGCAGGTCTGCTGTAGTAATCTCCAAAAAAATAAAATCTGCTTAGCATTTAGCATAAGTAAAATTATTATTTTTTTCTTCATAAACAGCAGTGGCATTATATAAACAAACTAGCATTTAAAGGGTTAGTTATGAACATAAGTGATGTTGGTAAAAAAAAAAAAAATGTGAGCGAAAGCAGGAAAAAATATTTTTATGACCATTTTTGAGAGTCTAAGGACATGTAACTTATATTGATGCAGAAGGATTAATAATAATAATAATGCAGTAAAAATACCAATAATTTAACTGAGACATACTTGAATGTGTTGTCTTGATTAAATGTGTTAATATTTATATTAATATATTAGTTGCTGCTGTCCTATTGAAACTGGCTTACTGAATTTTTTTGTGATAACCCTATTTGATCAAACTGCTGTTCCTGCCATTTTATAATAGCAGTAAACCACTCAAAGCGGTGTTGTAGTGATTTTCTTAGCCTCCTGAAGCAATAAATCCTCTTTAACTGTGGTAAGAAACATGGTCTGTACCTTGGTGATGGCAGTGAAGACCTTCTCCAGAATGGCGTTGGGCTGAGCTTTCTGCGGCCCGTTGGCCTGGATTTTCAGACCTAGTGCACATGGCCTTGCGATAAACCTAAAACAACCAATAACAAAGAACGCTTTATTAGATTTATACCTTGTAATACCAATGCCTGCTAACATAATTCCGAAGGTCTGACAGGCTGCATTAAAAGTCAATATTCAAAGGGAACCTCTGAGGTAAAACCGCTAAAGAAGTCCTCCTGTTTGCAATCACTGCGGCCGAGCAAAATCTTCAGAGACGGGCCGTTAACACCGCACAGGCCAGCTGTAAGCATTTTGTCTTTCTGCAGCTGACTGGCTGCTTTTGCGAAGGTCTGATAAACATGAGTGTATTAGGAAATAAACCACTGATCACAGCGACTGCATTACAGTAGGTATTGTTATGCTAATGTGATTCTATCTAGTTGATCTGATAATGAGAATGTTAAAAAGGAACGACAACCAGCAGAAACATTTCATGGGTCACTGCTACTGTGCAGTACATTTTCATATCCTCATCTTAATCTAAATATTAAACTCACTATTTATGAAAGCCATATTTAGTTTTCTTTTATCACGACAATATCAATGATGTGAACAAATCATATAATTTCTTTGAGCGGCTTATATTTTTGTCCAACTTCTGAAGTGATACCTGGCAATTTCTTAAATATTTCAAATAAAACATAGCAATAGTGCTTATTCGAGAATCCGTTCTTAGATTTTTCTCTTTATAACCTGTTCCCAAAAAAAAATGCTCTCAAAACATGTTTCTAATGTTCTCAATAGCTACAAAAATGATATGAAGTATTTCTATTTCAAATATATGCTGTTTTTTTGAACAGCATCACTGATGATAAGAAATGTTTCAGCATATTAGCAGCAAATCAGCATATTAGAATGATTTCTGAAGAATCATGTGACACTGAAGACTGGAGTAATGATGCTGAAAATTCAGCTTTGATCACAGGAATAAATTACATTTTAAAATATATTACAATAGAAACCAGTTATTTTAAGATGAAATAATATTTCACAATATTAAAGGCAGCCTTGGTTCTAGCATAAGAGACCACTAATATATATATATATATATATATGCAAGAATGCTCAAAACTTGTCTCTAAGTCTGGGCACGGCAAGTAAGATGTCACAAGAATGGAAATGGAGGTGACAGCAGACAGTTTTAATGAGCTTTTGCCACTTAATTAATAATCTCATCCAATTAACAGCCCTCACACGATGAAAATGCAATTGAGTGCAGAAAATGCTCTAGAAATGATTCTTCTATAAAGCTGAAGAGCTGCGATAAGGTTATGGGTGGCCCGATTGATTTGCGGTCTGCGCACTGTTTGCTTTTGTGGGGCTGAAATGCCATAAATGGGCTGTTGCTCATCATAAAAATTTACAGCGATTGTGCAACGCAGGAGGATGGAAGAGGATGTTTGTACTTCAGATAGTGTGTCGTCTTTCCACAGAGGAAGTCAGGTGATGCCACAGTGAAGACCACGGGAGCTTTGGGTTGGACACTGATGGCTTTTTATTATTTTGCAAACGTTTTGTTATATGTAAAGTCAGATCCAAAGGTTTCAGGCTGTCCAGAACTGACTGAACACACGGGTGAAACTTCTACACTAACTTTGATAATAAAAAATATGTCTTCCTCCCTAGACACAATCCCAGAGGAGATATTTCACCTCCTAACTACGCAGACCAAAGTTCAGCTGGAGAGATCTGAAGAACTCTGTCAGATGAAGGTAAAGCGCAGATGGTCTGTGGCATACATAAACACAAAACTTGACACTGCGCCGTCCCGCAGGGAATATGTCAAAGCTGCTGCTTTTGTGACATTGAAAGCCAACACAGTTTCAAATGTCAAAGTTCATAATAGTGCAAAATTAATATTTAAGTTTCATAACTCACTGGAAAGTATGATATAATGTTGATATCAGGTGCACACTGACTGGTTTTATAAACTAATCTCAATCATAAAACTGCAATATAGAGGAGACCGGGGCTAGTTGTCACATGGGGAACAGGCTTTACTGTATGTCAGTAACTAGTCAAAAGTCCAAATGCACAAAAGCTTGTTTCTCTAGCAGTGGTTTTATATGTAACACTGGTTCGGTGTTATTGTATTATGGAATTATTTTGACTGTTCAACAAGGTTTGGGTGAATCTCCCACTTTCATTTTTCCACATCACTTAATATAAATCAACAACATCAGGTGCAAAAATAATGTGTCCAATATTTAATCTAAATATAAGTAAGAATTACGAGTTCACATCATTGAATAAATGAAGCTTCGTCTATTGAATTCACCACAGTCAAGACAGAAATATTAAATTACTATATTTTGTATAACACTTTTGTTTTTTGGTGTTACTAGCTACTAACAGCTCCTACTTAAAATGAAGGAAATTATGATAAAATCTCAAATAATGTATTTTCAATGTTGACATATCATGATTGGACACAAAAATATGAGTATGATTATAATTACCTATACACTATTATATATACACATTCAAAAGTCTGAGGTCAATATTATTTTTTAAAGAAATTAATATATTTATTCAGCAAGGTTGCATTAAACTGACAGTACATACATTTGTAATATTACAAAAAAATATTGTAATAAAATATATTATATTTTAAATATTTAAAATTTAAAATTTCTATTCATCAAAGAATCCTGAAAAAAAAATTATCAAAATCTTACATAATTACATTTTTTAAATATATTAAAACTGAAAACATTTGTACTCATTTTCACAATATTACTTTTTTTTCTGTATTTTTGATTAAATAAATGCCACCTTGGTGAGTATAATAGACTTCTTTCAAAAACATTAAAACATATTATTATTATTTAGGCCTGTCACGATAACAACTTTTTGTTGTGCGATATATTGCCCCAGAAATAATTGCGATAAGTGATATTATTGTCATTTTAAAGACGCGATAAGTCGATATATTGATTATTGCGACAGGCCTATTATTATTATTGTTTTTTTATCCTATAATTTAGAGTAGGTGAAATATGGCTGAAAAAAAAAAGATGTTTACATGCTCCACAGCTATTAAAATATTCCTGTATAGATATAATCAGCATATTCAGGAATTCAGCAGTGTGATGAATAGCAAAATGTAGGTCAAGAGACTCTTAAAAATGTAGGCCATGACGTTTCTTTTAAATGTTTGTAAATATTTTAAATAAGTTGACCCAAAATTCTGATTAATACAAGCATATGCTAGTCACCGGCTTGGATGGGTTTCTAGAATATTGTCTTAATTGGGTTAATGCATTTTCATGACATTAATGCATGATAGGAAACATTAAACTCAAATTTTTTTTTTATTCACATAGTAATTGATTAATGTTTTACTGTTTTTGTGCTGAAAATGACAGGCTCCCTTTGTGACAACTTACCCCATACAGTAGTGTGACAACATACCCCAGTGTTGGGAATCAGTGAAAATTCTCAAACTTTAGATTTGCTATAAAAGCATTCCGTTACAAAAAACAAAAATAGATGGCACACCTAAGACTGATTCTACACAACAAAAAGAGGCACTGACCTACTTTCATCACTATCATTATTCCAGAAGATTGGCCATACTGGGTTCTTGTCATTGTCCTAATTCATGCAAGCAGTCAGTGACAATGTGAAGGAACACAAACCTGTCCCATCATCATCATCATCATCATCAGCTGAGGATGAACCCTGAGCGAAACATTTTCAGCAGTGATGATGATGATGATGATGATGATGAAGATGTGACACTGGACGTACCTCTCAAAGACCAGCCGGATCATAAACATGCAGAATGCTAAAGGACACGCCAGATACAGATCCTCGGCTTGTGGAAAGGTGGACTCGTCTGTGTTTTTCAAGTCAGCCCAGGTTACGTTGTGCGGGAGCCAGAACCTCTCAACTTGCCCCCAGTGAGAGGTAAGTTGAGCCTAGAGGGAGGGTAAGTTGAGTCACAAGCCACAAAAAGTTGAAAATTTTCACCTCATGCTATATCAAAGGAAGAGAAAATTCAATAAAAATGACTTCTTAAAATCGATGTGTGCGCCTTGTGATGGACTGGCCATCCATCCAGGGTTTTCCTCGCCTGTGGCTCAAGATGCTGGGTTAGGCTCCAGCTCCCCACGACCCTAATAAGGACAAAGAGGTTTGGATAATAGAATGGATGACTTCTGAAAAGTTTTATTTAAAGATACAGTTCACAACTTTGAAGGCATTTTTATTTTTAATTAAAAATTTCAGAACAAAATAAAGTTACAATTGAAGAATAAAAAAAAAACAGACTGCAATTGACCTCACAGACCTGGGCTAATAGAACTTAAGATCCCACTGATAAATGTTGTGGGGAAATACAATTTCATAAAAACTTCAATGGGCAATTATATCATAAACAGGACCTATTTAAAATTGTACAATTTTCAGAACAAAACCAAGTTCAAAACAAAGAACAAAATCAAAAATGTTTAAAATGAATAGTATAATGTAAAATTACAGTACAATTTACAGTACAATTTAAAATTTAACATTTACAGAAACTTTATAATCATAAGAAGCGGTGAGCCACTGGCTCAACTGACTTACCCCAGGACTTTTGGCTCAAATGACCCCACTCCGACCTTTTTAACAAACTTGCATCATCCAGCAGTTTAGAGCTGACATCCTGCTAACAGTATAGCCTCATAATATAACTTCCTAAAGCACAACCACATGCGTGATATTTTTCAGATTTGTCTGTAATTGTTCAAACACAAGAAGCATGAGTCCTTGCATAAAAAAATCACTTTGAACAACAAAAAAAAGTTTTTTGAAAACTTAAATGTAGTTACTTATTCCATGGGCTTCTCTCCATCACAGAGTTAGTAAAATGGTTAACACTTTTTGAGGTCACATCACCAATTTAGTTTAAGGCTGTCTAGAAACAAGGGGTGGCTGAACTTCCTCACGGGCTCTAATCACCCCAATCTCCCCTACTATGGTAGTAGCCTACAAAAGTATATAATAAGTATATCGTTTTCATTTGTTAGTCATTTTGATATGTGCTTTTTCTGTACTATTTAAGTTTTTTTTTTTTTTTTTTTTTTATTTTTTTCTGTTTTGGGTTTATTTCCTTTTAGTTTTTTAATTTGTTCTGTTTTGGGTTTAATTCCATTTAGTAATTTTAATGCTTCGACTTAAACTAATTTTAGTTGCCAAAGCTACATTTGTAATTTTCGTTTATTTATTTTTTTCACTTAATATTATATTTTATTTTATATCAGCTTTATTTCAATTAATAAAAATGTTTAATAATTTTAGTTAGCAGTATAGTTTTAGTTTTTGTATTGTTTCTTTTAAATACTTTATGACAGTGTTCTAACAAGAAACCAACCATTTTCATCTGTAATTTTAATAGTGTTTTATTATTATTTATTTTGGTTATAATATTTGTTTTTATTTTGTAATATTTTTTATTATTTTTTTATATGTAATTAAGCACTTTTTGTTGTGTTCGTTTACGCCTCGCAATAAATAAAAGTCACTCCTCAAAATAAAAGCACAGAACGAAGTACACAGGGCCACCTGTCACGGGCGCTTTAGCTGTCAAATCTTATGAAATTGCGCCACCTTCTGGACGACGGATGGCTTCTGCAGTTCTTGCGAAATTCTTTATACATGAAGCCAAATGAAGCAAGACCCGACTTCTTTTAAAAAAAAAAAAAAAAAAAAAAAAGCGAAGTGGGGTTAAATATTAGTTCAGGAAGATGGTTATGAATGTTATTTGTTGTATAGGCTATTGACACATTGTGGGGGGAAAATTACTGATCTGCATAATGCTCTCTATTATAGATCAGTGGGAAAAAATGCTATTAAAGTGTTTCTCAGGGGTATTATTCATGAGAGAGAGAGAGAGAGAGAGAGAGAGAGAGAGAGAGAGAGAGAGATCATCAGTCATGAAAGACTGAAGAGATTGATTAATCTTAAAATTCTTTCATAATAGTATATGATATCTCAGCCTTTACATTTTGAAAATAAATAAATAAATACAACCCGATGAAATAGGGAAACTTTTTATTGGTGCAAACATACTAAGGTTACGACTTGATCATGAATATTAATTACCTAACGTGACTGAACCATAGACTGTAAAAAAGGTTTACCAATCAATGTCATACGCTTTCGCTGAATAAACAAGAATAATTAATATCTATAACCTACGCTTTTGCAATATTATCACGCCTAAAATTATTAATATTTAAAAATTAATATTCATGAGCAGCTTTTGCGGATATTCTAATGCATATCATACATAAACAGACATAAAACTAAATAATTATTAAGTCAAGTCAAGTCAAGTCACCTTTATTTATATAGCGCTAAATATTTATCTATGAACACATGACAATTTTTTGTGATTATAAATAAATAAATAAAACAAGATAGCGTTCAAAATACGCTTACTCAACTAAATGAATGAATGAATGAATGAATGAATAAATAAATAAAACAAGATAGCGTTCAAAATACGGTTACTCAACTAAATGAATGCTTGAATGAATGAATGAATGAATAAATAAAACAAGATAGCGTTCAAAATACGCTTACTCAACTAAATGAATGAATGAATGAATAAATAAATAAATCCCCACCATGACACGAGTCCCCATGAGTCTGTGTGTATTCAGGTTTAAGTCCCCACCAGGATATATAAACCAGTACACACACACACACACTTAAAATATTTATCTATGAACACATGACAATTTTTTGTGCGTACACAAAATAAATAAATAATTAGGAAAAACCATGGTAATGGAAAAAATAATTCAAAGCATTCAAATCTTTACAAAATGTACAACAATGTTACAATGTTTTTTTTAGGCATTGTTGAACTTCTGTCTTTGAGAGACAGAAATTTAGCTTAGAAATTTTTACTAAATTTAGCTCATAGAGGTAGCAGCAATTAAACAATATTCCTTAAGACATGTAATAAGTGGAAAAAGCCGAAAAGAAAAACGTTTTCAAAACACAGCTGAAAGCTGGAAATGATGCGATCTTTAATAAATGAACAGAAATCTGACCGAAAACAAGCCGAATGAAGACAACTCAATAAATAATAAATAAATAAATACAACAAGATGGCGTTCAAAATACGCTTACTCAACTAACTAAATGAATGAATGAATAAATAAATAAATAAATAAAACAAGATAGCGTTCAAAATACGGTTAATCAACTAAATGAATGAATGAATGAATGAATAAATAAATAAATAAAACAAGATAGCAAAATACGCTTACTCAACTAAATGAATGAATGAATGAATGAATAAATAAATAAAACAAGATAGCGTTCAAAATACGCTTACTCAACTAAATGAATGAATGAATGAATGAATAAATAAATAAAACAAGATAGCGTTCAAAATACGCTTACTCAACTAAATGAATGAATGAATGAATGAATAAATAAATAAAACAAGATAGCGTTCAAAATACGCTTACTCAACTAAATGAATGAATGAATGAATAAATAAATAAAACAAGATAGCGTTCAAAATACGCTTACTCAACTAAATGAATGAATGAATGAATAAATAAATAAAACAAGATAGCGTTCAAAATA